GCAGCAGTAGCAGCAGCAGCAGCAGAAACAAGTACCAGCCACACAGCGGCTCCTCCGGCCCGAGCAGCCACAGTCCCCCGGCCGCGATGGCGCTGCAAAGCCCTGCGAGCGAGGAAGCTAAGGGGCCCTGGCGGGAGGCAGAGCAGGAACAGCAGGAGCGGGTGGGTAACCCCGAGCCGGAGCCGGAGCCCGAGCCGGAGCCGGTACCAGTGCCCCAACCCGAGCCCCAGCCAGAGCCCCAACCAGAGCCCCAACCTCTACCGGACCCTGCACCGCTGCCGGAGCTGGAGTTTGAGCCGGAGCCGGTGCATGAACCCGAATCCACGCCCACGGTGGAGACCCGCGGCACCGCGCGCGGCTTCCAGCCCCCCGAAGGTGGCTTCGGCTGGATGGTGGTCTTCGCTGCCACCTGGTGCAACGGCTCCATCTTCGGCATCCAGAACTCCTTCGGAATTCTCTACTCCATGCTGCTGCAGGAGGAAAGAGAGAAAAATCGCCAAGTGGAGTTCCAAGCAGGTGAGCGGCCCTTCGCGCTCCACCTGGTATTCTAGGCAAGGGTGTGTGCTCCCGCCGCCGCCGACCCCATACCTCCCGGTCCGAGGCGCCTCTCTAGCGCGCCGCTCGGACTCCTCCCCCTTGCCCCTTGCCGGTGGCCCTGCTAGGGCGCGAGTTGTCGGGTTCCGGGCAGCCTTAGCTGTGAAGAAGAGGTGCAAGATATCCCAGGGATGGGACCTGGGACATTCGTTGATCACGCGCAAGGAATAAACTTTCTTGCTCTGGGACTTATTCAGATGCACCTTTCGGGTTTACTTAAAGTACTCTTAGCGTGTGTACTGGGAGAAAATATTTGCAGAATGTTTTTTGGTGGTAGGGTAAGCAACGGAGAGAGGAGAGAGTTGGGAGGTTGGGAGGACTTTGAGAGAAACACTGTACTGCGGATCTCCGCAGCAACCCCTGTTCCTGTACAGGGAGCGGAGGGGTTTTCTGTCAAAGACACTTTAGGAATCTTGGTGACTGCGCCAAGAGTCAAACACATGGCAGGCGTGTGTGTCTGTATACAGGAGAGAGAGGAAGGGAGGGAGATAGTGCAAGTGGGGGTGTGAGCGCATCTCTTTGCCCGCCGTGGTTACAGCCCAACCGAGTCCGGCAGTCCTCTGCCACTCTGAGGGAGCGAGCGGATCTCCGTGCCCTCTGAGCTGAACCCCAAAGCAGGCAGGGAGGCAATCTCTCCGGTCTCCTGCCAGAGAGGCGTGAGGCGGTTGAAAGGCTGGGCCCTGCGGCTCATTTCGCGCCGCCCACGACCTCAGCCTCGCGCTCCTTGGCGCCCTGAGCCTCTCCGCTATCCGCGGGGTGCCTGGTTCGTCCTCAGCCGGAATGCCGGCCTCCACCCCTCCCACCTTTGTGTGGTGCTGACTTGGTCTTCTTCCCCAAGACAAGCAGGGCCAGGGGCATAGCTCTCGCTCTTCAGGCCGGCGTCTGCGGGACCGCAGGCTTGTGCGCTCCTCCTGTTGAAGCCTGCCCGTGGGCTCGGAGAAGTCAGAGTAGCCATCCCGCTTTCTCAGCAAGCCACCGGCGAAGCCCCTCAGCAGTTCCGATGAGGAGTCTCAGGAGCCGTGGGGCTTGGGATGCCCTCTTCCTCAAGGTTCATTCCCTCTTGTGGCTTTTCAGGACAGCTCCACTCGCGACCCGCCGCCAAGTTCGCAGCTCAGAATTCGTGGCTTTTTTTTTTTAAACACAGCTCAGAATAAGTGTTGCCCTGGGGCTGAAGTGCTCCCTCCTCTCGTCACCCCCAGACACGTACTTCTGCTGCTCTCTGAGGAGGTCAGGGGTTTATTTAGTGAATAGAAATCTTGAATTCTGGAGGAGTCCACCTGTGGATTCCCTGGGCCCTTGGAGAGCCTCTCCTACTGCTCTCAACCAAGGACTCATTTTTTTTTTAAGTTTGCAACTTCACTGGGCTGTCCTTAAAGAGGTTTGGGGGCTCGTGGTGCCTCTGACCTTGTGACCCATTGGCGCCGCAGTGTGCCAGCCCCACTTGAAAGTTCGAGTGTGTGTCGATGGCTGTCCAAATCAGTCTCAGGACTGCCTAGACAACATTGACGCCTGAGTGGAGGGGGTCCCTGACTGTGTGGAACAACTTCTGGGTGGAAGGTCACTGCTGCATTCACCCCTGGGACTGCATTTTCCCTGCTTTGATGCAGTTAAGGGGCTCTTGGGAAGGCAGCCAGAGTAAGGCCTCTGGCTGTTGCCTAGGTTACCTTGGAGCGCACCTGCTGAGCATTGCCCTGTGGTTAAAGGCAGGCTGTTGGCCTCCGGGATCAGTGGCAAAGTCTGGGTGAAACTTCATGGGAGGTAGTGGGGGATGGGCTGAAGCTAGGCCTTGGCATTCATGTGATGTGAGCAGGCCTAGAGCCGGGGCCTTAGGAGTGTGTAATAAAACTTGGAAAACCCACTATTTTTACCAGGAAGAGGTTCACTGCTGGGGAACAAACTTCAAAGCAGGTGATCATAGGGGACTCAGGGGGAGGGCTGGCTGGGACTTTCCGGTCAAGACCTCACAGCACAGCTGGGAAAGGGGGTGGCAGTGAGCTGTGCAGAGGTGTGGCTGGTGTGTACTCTGACACAGACTAGGTCCATTGAGGGGCTGGGGTTACTGGTTTAAATTAGGGTGAGTATAGGTCAGGAAAGGACAGAAAGGAATTTGGTATGTCCCCAGGGTCTCAGAATACTTTGGCTTGGGTCCCTCCTGTTTGAGTCTTGAATTCATGAAAGTTATTTTTGATACAGGAGGCTCTCAAGAACACCTCCATTGTTATTTTTTTTAAAAAAGTCAGGAATACCCCACCACATTCCTGAGTTCCTAGAAAATCTCATCCTCACCACTACCTTTCTTGAGCCCCTCAGCTTTCCCAAGCAACCATTCAGATCCTGAGATTCCAAATGTGTCTCTGCTGCCACACACGTTTTGCAGTTTACAAAAAATTTCCCAGCCACCTGTACCACAGTGCTGATATCTCAAAGGGATAGAAGGAGCCAGCAGAAGCTGCACTCTTTGTTGGCCAGGATTTGCCCAATAGCCATTCTGGGGAACACAGAATATACACCCCCACAGTCAAGGAGCATTGTTCATTTCTATTAATGTCCAAAATACCTTCCATCTCTAAAAAAATCTATGAATTTAATATTTGGAGGCTCCCTACAACCCAAATTCTCTTTGGCTAGGCCTAATATCTTTACAGCCCTAACGCTGTGCTGATTGGCTTAATGAGTCTACAGGTCTGCAGATGATTGGTATTATTGTGAGGGAGCCACAGAGGAAGGCTGTTTTGATGTTTGGGGGCTAACTCCACATCCCAGGGGCCCCTGGGCATGGGAAGAGGCCACGAGGAGTGGAAGGGAAGTAGAATTCATGCCTTCTAAAGCATGCAATGTATAGTCTTTGTGGATTCTGTGATGTATACAGTTCTGTGGTGGCAGTATATCTTGTCACTTCTCTTCACCCACTTTGAAAAGAACGCCAAATTTTCCTGGGTCTGAGGCCTGGGAGGACTGGCAGGCAAAAGATTCCTGAGGTGGAGGCAAATGACCAAGGTCTGATTTAGGGAAAAGGGGAAAAGGTCAAGAGAGAAATGAGACTATACATTTTGCAGAGCTTGTGGGAAGTTTGGGAGTCTCCCAACCTAGACCAAGCTGCAGATAGGACAGGGGCAAGCAGACAATTTAGTGGAAAGTATATCATGTCTTCCTGGGATGAGAGAGGAGCCTTTTGGAGGAAAGAAAGAGCACTGTGGCATTGGTTGCAGGCCTTAGATCATTACTGGAACCCTAAATGAGTGGGAGCTGGGGCAGGGTTAGGGTTGGGGGTCCAGGGGACAAGGCAGAACAAGTCAAAGCTGTTAACACTGGCTCCAAGCTTAGGTCTTTTTGAACATGCTCCAGAGTAAACTCATTACCCTGAACTTTCCACCTTGACTGCCAGTCTAACACTGAACCATAAAATATGATGGGAGGCATCTCTTACTGGGAAGTTTATAAGCATGGCCCTTGTAGGCTCCCAGGTGGAGGGAGCAGGGATAGGTCTCCCACCACCCAGGGAAAGGGGTAATGGTGAGGAAGGTTCATTACTGGGTACCAGATAGTTAGGGCTCATGGGCCACTCTGACAGAGACAATATTCTAGGCATGGGATGAATGATACAATCTGCTTTTGGGCAAAGAGTCCCAAGAATAGGTGAGGCCCAGGGCAGTTTGAGCTATCTCTTCCCCTTTTTAGGGGTTTTCATTGCTTGGTTCAGTGTCTCATTGGGCTGACCACTAAATTGCTGACTTTGGCAGCCAGGTATCTTTGGAGCAAATCTGCCAATGTCTTGCCTTTGGCTGAAGGTTTTTGCCTACTGCCCAGAGAAGCTAGATCAGATTGGCTCAAAGCCTGCTATGGAGTTTTGGGCCACAGGGCCATTGGCCAGGTATCTTTCAAGTCACTCCTCTGCCTTCTCTCCAACCAAACCGGGTCCCAAACTGAGACCTTGACTCATACTGGAGGGGATGTTGAGGAGAGGTTGCGGTATTTGGAAGACATCCAATGGGATCCTTATTTGAATTGGAGTAGCTGATTGAGTTTGGATCCCTGCTCACTGTTCAGAGGTCTCAAATTCTCATTCTAAGTCTAAATCTAGACCCCAAAGGGCTGGTGATCTCAGTAATACCAGTTAGGCAGTGAGTAGGAACTAGTCAGCTTGTGCCCCTGATTTGCTCTGTGACTTTAAGCAAGCACTTTACATCTCTGTACCTCAGTTTATCTGTCTGTAAAATGAAAGGATTTGACTAGATGAACTTATATTTTTAATTTTTTTATTGACATATAGTTGATTTACAATGCTGTGGTAGATTCTGATGTACAGCAAAGTGATTCAGTTATCCATCCATATATATATATATATGTATATTCTTTTTCATAATGGTTTATTAAAGGGTATTGAATGTAGTTCCCTGTGCTATACAGTAGGACCTTATTGTTTATTTTATATATAGTAGTTTATATCTGCTGATCCCAAACTCTTAATTCATCCCTGACCCTCTTTTCCCCTTTGGTAACCATAAGTTTGTTTTCTATATCTGTGAGTCTGTTTCTGTTTTGTAACTAAGTTCATTTGTATCATCTTTTAAATTCCACATGTAAGTGATATCATGATATTTGTCTTTCTCTTTCTGACTTACTTCACTTAGTATGATCATCTCTAGGTCCATCCCTATTGCTGCAATGACAATACTTCATCCTTTTTCATGGCTGAGTAATATCCCATTATATATAATATATTACACACACACACACACACACACACACACACACACACACATCTTCTTCATCCATTCATTCATCTGTCAATGGACATTTAGGTTGCTTCCATGTCTTGGCTATTATAATAGTGCTGCTATGAACATTGGGGTGCATGTATCTTTTTGAATTAGAGTTTTCTTCAGATATATGCCCAGGAATGGGATTGCTGGATCATATGG